TTTTTTGTAATTTTAGTAGAGACCAGGTTTCACCATGTTGACCAGGATGGTCTCGATCTCTTGATCTTGTGATCCACCCGCCTCAGCCTCCCAAAGTGCTGGGATTACAGGCGTGAGCCACCGCGCCCGGCCCCCAACAACAATTCTTTTAACAACATCTGTCCCTTCCCTATTCTGATCCTGTGACTGGCAAGTCACCAAATATTTAAGTCTTTAGTCTGTACAAATTTTACTTTCTTGGCAAAGGGAGGATTTATTCACGTGCTTCGATGTGGTAAGTATTCTTTGCTTTTTTTTTTCTTAGTATCTATTTTGGTAATCTTTAATCTACAGGAGTAGCCTATACAAAATCTGTGTAGCTGACTTCCATCGTGCTATTATAAGCTCATGTGAGTTAGGTGCTCCTTCCTTATAAAGACACCCAATACTGCTGGGCATGGTGGCTCACACCTGTAATTCCAGCACTTTGGGAGGCTGAGGTAGGTGCATCACCTGAGGTCAGGAGTTCGTCACTAGCCTGGCCAACATGGTGAAAACCTGTCTCCACTAAAAATAGAAAAATTAGGTGGGTGTGATGGTGGTAGCAGAGAGCGACCAGACAGTCTATTAGCCATCAACCCTGGATCCTAGTGGATGATGTTAGGGGCCAGTCACTCCATCCAGAGAGCAATTCACTACATCCACTAAACACCCAACTTGACTCTCTTCTCTCTCCCCTTCCTTTCTCAGCTTTTAAAATATTTGTCTTCTAAAAAGGGGCCAGTTCAGTCAATCTCCCAAGGAAGTAAAAAGCCCATTGCTTTGGCTACTTTTCCTTTCGACTGTAAAGGGTTCTCTGGGCAACTCAGGTGTCCTTGATAAAATATGCCTAAGTGTGTTCAATGATAAAATATGTGTGTGTGAGGGGGTGCTCTTAAAAAGCAAGGACTGAAATCATGCTGACAGAATTCCTGTGTCCGTCTAGTAGTAGGTTACAGTGAGTGGACAGTGAACCAAGCTCTATTAGATTGCTGGGCATGGTGGCTCATGTCTATGATCAATCCCAGCAATTTGGGAGGCTGTGGTGGGAGAAGCACTTGAGCACAGGAGTTTGAGTTCAGCCTGGACAATATAGTGATACTTTGTCTCTACAAAAAAAAATTAAAAATTAGCCAGGTGTGGTGGCATGTGCCTGTAGTCCCAGGTATTTCAGAGGCTGAGGAAGGAGGATCAGCTGATCCCAGGAGGCAAACGTGCAATGAACTGAGATTGTGCCACAGCACTATAATCTGGGCAACAGAGTGAGACCCTGTCTCAAAAAAAAAAAAAAAAAATCTATTATAACCTTCTTGAGGGCAATACAGGTTTTAGGCTTTCTGTCCTGAAACATTTAACACCATGCCTTGCATGTAAGAAATGCGCATTAGGCCGGGTGCGGTGGCTCAAGCCTGTAATCCCAGCACTCTGGGAGGCCGAGGCGGGTGGATCACGAGGTCAAGAGATCAAGACCATCCTGGTCAACATGGTGAAATCCCGTCTCTATTAAAAATACAAAAAATTAGCTGGGCATGGTGGCGCGTGCCTGTAATCCCAGCTACTCGGGAGGCTGAGGCAGGAGAATTGCCTGAACCCAGGAAGCGGAGGTTGCAGTGAGCCGAGATCGTGCCATTGCACTCCAGCCTGGGTAACAAGAGCGAAACTCGTCTCAAAAAAAAAAAAAAATTCATGTGTTGAAAACTTAATCCCCAATGCAACAGTGTTGAGAAGCGTGACCTTTAAGAGGGACTTCTAAGAGAGTAGAGCCCTCATGAATGGATTATGCTGTCATGTGTGTTCATTTGCCCTTCTGCATGGGATAACACAGCATGAAGTCCTTTTAGAGATGCTAATGCCATGCTCTTGGACTTATCAGGCTCCAGAATCATGACCCAAATAAACTTCTGTTCTTTATAACTCACTCAGTCTATGGTATTCTGTCAGCAGGAGTAGAAAATGAACTAAAACACTTGGGAATGGGACCTTAAAAGTTAACTAATTGGAAGGGCACGGTGGCTCACGCTTGTAATCCCAGCTCTTTGGGAGGCTGAGGCGGGCAGATCACGAGGTTAAGAGATCGAGACCATCTTCGCCATGATGAAACCCCATCTCTACTAAAAATACAAAAATTAGCAGGGTGTGGTGGCACGCGCCTGTAGTCCCAGCTACTCGGGAGGCTGAGGCGGGAGAATCACTTGAACCCAGGAGGCTGAGGTTGCAGTGAGCCGAGATTGCGCCACTGCACTCTAGCCTGGCAACAGAGCAAGACTCCTTCTCAAAAAAAAAAAAAAAAAAAAAAGTTAACTAATCAGACTTCCTACCTGACACTTACGTCTTTCCTACTAAAAAAATGGTCATTGGGCTGGTACGGTGTAGACCACACTAGATTACAAACAACAGAAAATTCGAATCCCATTGGTCTAATCAATGAATATACACCTGAGATCATAAGTTGCTTGATTAAGAGCCTTAAAAATGTTGCCAAAAGACAGGCACAGTGGCTCATGCCTGTAATCCCAGCACTTCGGAAGGCTGAGGTGGGTGGATCACTTGAGGTCAGGAGTTCAAGACCAGCCTGGCCAACATGGTAAAACCCCATCTCTACTAAAAAATAAAAAAATTAGTCGGGCATGGTGGCAAGTGCCTGTAATCCAGCTACTCGGGAGGCTGAGGCACAAGAATCACTTGAACCTGGGAAAAGGAGGTTGCAGTGAGCTGAGATTCCACCACTGCACTCCAGCCTGGGTAACAGAGCCAGACTGTTTCAGTGGCTCACGCCTGTAATCCCAGCACTTTGGGAGGCCCAGGCGGGTGGATCACGAGGTCAACAGATCGAGACCATCCTGGTCAACATGGTGAAACCCCGTCTCTACTAAAAATACAAAAAATTAGCTGGGCACGGTGGCGCGTGCCTGTAATCCCAGCGACTCAGGAGGCTGAGGCAGGAGAACTGCCTGAACCCAGGAGGCGGAGGTTGCGGTGAACCGAGATCGCGCCATTGCACTCCAGCCTGGGTAACAAGAGCGAAACTCCCTTTCAAACAAAACAAAACAAAGTAACCAAAGATTAGATATCTGTTTACTTTCGTAATGTCTGCTTTATTTTAACCCAGACCTTGTGTTTGGAAGATGACTACCCACCATCCAGAAGACCCGTTTTTTTGAGGACATGCAGAGAGAACGGGTTGCCTCTGAACGACCAGAAAATTGGTCCTCTTATTGGCCGAAATGTGTCACGCCCATTGCCAACCAATAACTGTGGCAGGGAATGGGATTATGCTGAGGTGCTTAGATTGGAACCATATGCTCCTGTAGGTAGGCAGAGGGACGTGACGAAGAACTGGGCTTGTTTACCAAGACAAGGAAAAGCGGCTATTTTGGGGAGTCTAGGCTACCGCAGGATCAGTCATAAGGTTCAGGTATTGCCAATGCGAAGCCATGGAAACCCACCTGACAGCTGCTTGTACCATCCGCCATCCATATCTGGGGTTTCCAAATTTGAGGATTCAAACAATTGAAATAAAACATGTAGTTAGGCTCACCAGGATTGCATCTGTACTGAAAATCTGGAGATTTCTTTGGGTGATTATTCCGTCAATACACCTTAACAATTATTTACATGGCATTTACATTGTATTAGGTTTGATAACTAATCTAGAAATGATTTAAAAGCATATGAACATCTTGGAAAATCCAGAGTCCGGGAACCAATCCTACGGATACAAAGAGACGACGGTAATAAGTACAGTAATGGCATATGGTAGGTGAATCCACCTCCCTTTCCATCCCAGCCCGGAATCCACAGGCTCCTCCTGGCCATGTTGTCCTCAGGCCTTGGCTGCTTCCTTCCGTTTGTCACTCTGGAAGTGTCTTCTTTCTCCAGTGTTTCTTCGGAGTGCGCCTTACCGGTCTTTCCACTCACTCACCTGAGCCAAAACACTGGCTGCCATTCCAGGAAATGTCCCTTCCGGCCCAGAATGGAAGCACTGAGGTTCAGTGATTGCGTCTTCCTTCTACTCTGGGGCTCCTTCGAGGCGCACAAGACAGTGGCCGTGTGACAGCCGCCCTGGGCTGTCCCTGAGATGAAGAGCCTGGGTTCAGCGACTCCCAAGACCTCGCCCGACGTGCGATTCGGTGGCTCCGAACGGGACTCGGGTGGGAGGAGGTGACTGCAGACGTGGGGTCTGTGCGAGTGGGTGTCTGAGGGCCTGAAGCTCACACTGCTTTGTCTGCTTTCAGGGAGGCCTCGGCCCTTTCTCCAGCATTCGGCTCGGCAGCGCATCGGCCCGACCGCGCCCGCTCCCGGAGCGGCCGAGGAGCCTGGGTCCCCCGTCCCCACGCGCGCAGTGCACTGTCTGCACCCAGCGCAGCCCTCCTGGGCCGGAGCCTCGGGGCCCAGCCGCCAGTGGCGTCCCGCGTGACCCGCTCTGGAACCGCAGCCTTCGCTGCTCTGCGGCCTCGCGTTCCGGGAAGGCTCGGGGGCCTGGGCCGCGGACCCAGATGCTCCCACAGGCGCGTCTTCGTCGCTCCGCTTCGGGGTCCAAGACCCAACAAGACCAACGCGAGGAGGCGCCCACGGTGCCCGCCGCCCCGCTCACAGGGGACCCGGACGACGGTTCCTCGGCGAGCGGTCGCGGCCTGTTTCCCAAGGTGCCTGTGAGCGCCTCCGCCCCTCCCCGCCTGCCCCAACCCCGTCCCGCCTCAGCCGACCGCGGGCTTTGTCCACCCGCCGCGGCGCGGCTCCTCCCCCGTCTCCGCCGGCTCCGCCCACCCCCTCGGCCGGCCCCACTTCCTAGGCGGCGGAGCGGCCCGGGGAGGGAAGGGTTAAGCCGGGGCTCTTCCCGGCGCGGAGGGATCCGAGGCGAGCCGAGCGCGGTGCTGAGGCCGCCTCAGCGAAAAAAATGTCCGCCTGAGGAGACCCACAAGTTCTATTCGGGGGGACTGACTGCCCGCCCCGGGAGCAAGGGGCGTCCAGGCCCGAAAGCCGCCTCCCCCGCCCAGACCCAAGAGCTCGTGCGGGGCAAAGTGAACCGAGCCGCTGGGCGGTACGCGGGGAAGCCCGAGCCCGCTCTCCGGGCCAAAGTGAACTTTAATCGGGGTGGTTGGATGCGGAGACGGGGCGGCAGGTAATTGCGGGCGGGCGGGCGGGCGGGGGAGGCGCGGCAGGGCCGGGGGCTGCGGGGCGCCGCGGCGTCCCTGCCGGAGCGGGGGCGCCACTGGCCCGCGCCTCAACTCCGCGCCCCTTTGTACAGTGCCAGAGCCGGGGTCCCCTCCAAGTTGGGGAGCGGAGTGGGGGCGGAGGCGCGAGTCGCGGGCGCTCAGGCCCGCTGGCGGCGCGCTCGGCCTGTGCGCCCCGTTCTGCGCTCGACTCGGGCCGGCGCCCAGGCTCCGGGGCGCGCGGGAGATCGGGCGGCTTCGGCCGCGGAGCCAGGCTCATTGTTCGCAGGTCCCGGGCAAGGCAGCAAAAGTGGGAGGAGGCCGAGCCCGGGTCGGGGACGCCGGGCGGGAGCGCGACGAGTTGTCGGCGTTTCTGTTTTCTGTTTAAAAACGCCCCTTGGATGCGCTGGGGGTGCTCTCCGACCCCCTGGGCCCGCCGGGGACATCCGGGCGGCGGCGGCCGCGGACGCGGGCCTGCGAGCGGCTGCTTCCCTGCAACTTGTCAGTTCTATTGTTGCCGAGCGAGTGAGTCACTTCGCATCTCCGCTCGCTGGACGCCGAACTGCCCCTCACCCGCTCCTCGAGACCCCCGCCGCGGCCGGGCCCCGCGCGCCGAGCACTCCGCGGCGGCGCGGAGCAGGGGGCGCCGGGCAGGGGGCGCCGGAGACGGGCTCGGAAACTTGCGGGAGAGGCGGCGAGTTGCGGGAGCCGCCGCGTCGCTCTTGGGCCGCGCCGAGGAACGCGTGGATTCGGGGACCCGGCGCGGGCACCGAGCTCTCCCGCCCCCTGCTCGCGCCGCGGTGGGAGCGAGTCCGGGTCTTGGAAGTGGTACCGGCCCCCCCCCAGCGCTCTTCCTCTTCACCAGTACCTTTTTCCGTCCCCTCACACACTTTGGGCCTCGGTGGTCTCTGCTTGAGCCCGTTTCCTCTGCCCTAGGACTTGCTAGAAGTGGCCGAAGATGAATCCCCAGCAACAACGCATGGCCGCTATAGGGACCGACAAGGAGCTGAGCGACCTGCTGGACTTCAGTGCGGTACGAGAGCTTTCCGAGGCATCTTGGGGTTCTGCAGAGGGTTTTTTTAAATAAAAAAAGAAAGAAAGGGTGGGGGAAGCAACGTGGAGACTAGGCAGCGTGAACTCCATCTGCTTTCTGCCTGAGCAGTAGTTCTCAGGGCTGGAGTCCAGCTCCCCCAAGTTGGACACCTGAACTTTGATGTAATGTCTAGACTTGCAGGTTTAAAACTTTAATGCCAGAGGGGTCATTCCGTTTAACCAGTTAAAAGGAGAACAATGTAATTATGAGTTTTGGTTGAGGCAACCTCCGCCCCGGATGATTAGTAGAGATCTTGTACTTTATAGGAAAAAGTATTGTTATTTTCTTCAGCACTCCTCAGCATTTTCCTCTCTGATATCAGATGTAGTTTATGGTACCTCAAAGATGTCAGCTACAAGAAAGGCAGTCCAGATCTAGAATTTCCAGCCTTCTGAGCAGAGTACTTTTATTTATCTGTGGTATATATACATATTATGTTCTTAACGTAGGAAATAACTTAAAAAAAATCAACTGAAACCAAAGGGCCCACTGGTTTTATTTTTAATGGGTTTAATTTCTTCATTAACTGCTGTTTGGAGGTAGCACCTATACCTGCTTTATACAACTCAGTTATAATCCTTACTGTATGTAGTAATTTAATTGGCTATGATTCTGACTGTATGTGTATATTAAGATGTAATGTAAATGTAATGAGATTCACTTAGTTCCATAGTGTAGATCAAGGGTAATAATATATTGTTTAAATTGAATAATCTTGGAGTCTTCCATGTAAACGATAGGGTCTTCAAAACATCGGTAACCATTATTTCCAATTAATCAGGAATTAGTATCACTTAGTGTATTTGCATCTCTGGATCTGAAAGTATCTCCAATTTTATTTTAACTTCCCTCTGAAATACGGTAACTGATTGATGGCTTTGGTGGACTTTTGTTTGCAAGGTAGAAGAATTTCAGGACTAACAGATAACATTTGGATTATTTTGCAGATGTTTTCCCCACCTGTTAATAGTGGGAAAACTAGACCAACCACACTAGGAAGCAGTCAATTCAGTGGATCAGGTAAGATGATGTCTTAAACCAGAGACTCGTATTTTGGTGGTATGACACATTTTAGTAGAAAAATAGAAAGCATGACATTTAAATATTATTGAATATATGTATATAAAAGGTGGAATTGAGTCAAGCGATAATTAGTAAGATTTATTAATTTTAAAAGATGACAGTTCCCTCAGATATCTGTAGGAAATCAATGGTTTCGTTGACAATTATTTAAAATGTTAATGGGGTAAATGTTCAAAATGAACAGAAACTTAGATTTATTTTTAAATGATACCTAGTAGATTACTGAATTCTGCCCTATATCCAGATTACATTATGATAATGTTTAGAGTAAGTTAAAGTAGATTCTACACACTAGTGCTGTTGTCTTTAAATTTACTTTTGATACATTTGTGACTGCTGTGCTCCATTATTAAACATCCCATTTTTTTAAGTATTCATTTTTTGTTTTTTTAACTTTTAAAACTCATAATTTTAAAATATTTGAGAAGCACGATTCATTCCAGTGAGTTTTTATTTAATTTAAATTTATTTCTTTGTGCTCAGAGATGAAAAAGATAACTAAAGCCATGACACCATCATCTTAACCAACTGTCAAATCTCTGGGCTGAAACTCAATAATTCCTCTTTTATGGGTGCTTTTTATTTCTCCTGGTAAAATAATAGTTGATTTCTTAAAATACTTCGAGAGTAAAACATCAGAAAATAAGGTTAATTTCATAACAGTCGAAACACTTCATACCACTTTACATTCTAAAAAGTTTGTATTTAAAAATTGCCTATTAATTTAATTTACTAAAATTCATTTTTAATTATGAAATTACAGCTTGTGGGGAAAGTATAGCATGTTCTTAATCATCTCAAGTAACTGAAATGAAGGCATTTTTTGGATTTTAAGTAAAGACTAACATTATTCTTAATCAAAAGGACAACATGAAATGAAAGCCAAGTCCCAGCTTTTCTCTCACCTCCTTCCTTTTACTGGTAATCATTTGAAAATTGTTACTTTTTGGGGAGGGTGGAGAAAGTTTAACAATTTTAAAGGTGTGGAAGATGGCTGTATTTCTTCATAGTGTTTTGAATACATCTCATTTTTGCAATTAATAGTTCATTCTTGGGAATCTTCAAATGTGCTTTGAGTAATACATGGTAGATGGTACTTAGTATTTTTTTAAAATGAGTCATGATATTGCTGTTGCCTACTGTTCCAGCTAAGGTTGTGGTAAATATTTATAACTGGACACTCACTGATACAATAACATGAACTGTAGGAACTTGCTCTTAGAAGTGCATTCTGTTTTTAGAATAAAGGCAATTATATTTATTATACCTTTTCAAATTAAGAATTACATAGTCTCTGAAATTAAAAAGTATCTATGTGAACTGAGATGTGGATTACAAGCATGGCATTGGAGCAGTTGTTGGACTTCTTTCAGTACCTTGCGTTACACAAAGAAAAATTTATTTTTCTACATTGCCAGTGGTCACCATATTTGATTATTTAGAGTAGGAACTTTTAGTTTTAAAAGTTAGATTTGTTATCCGTTGAAAAGCTTGAACTTGAAGTCCTGTATTCAGTGGACTTAACAATATTTATCTGTGGTTTGTTTTCAATGCTACAAAAAGTTGTAATAAGAAAGCTATGACTTTTAATAAGTTAGCGAATGGATATCAATTTGGGAAAGAAAATGGCATGTGATTTTTTTCAAATCAAGATGTACTGGTAGATAACGATTTTTCTGTGGCCATTTCTTAAAAGGAATGTCTAAAAGAAATTGGTGTTGCAACATTATTTGACTTATATAGTTTATATTTATATACCTTATTGACATTCGAATAATCTTCTGCCCTGATTTCAAAGGATACTATGTAATACACCCTAATGCCTATGTATTTGCAGCTGTTAAGGAACTGAAGATCTGACCTTCCTTTTGTAGAGCTGCTGCAGATTAGGGTTTTTTGTTTTACATTTTGTCTTTGGAGTAACATTTGTAAAAACCTCATGCCATTTAACTTAGGAAAACTAGAGTTTATAGTTGGGTATTATAATTTCCTTTATTTTTCTTTTTTGATGAATGCTCAGTTTCACAGTGGGCTGTTGTTGAGAAACAATATATAATACTTTCAGAAACTTTTTTAGCTGAAAGAATGCAATATGTATTATATTATGTGGTGTTACCTTTAATCTTATTCCTGAAGCAAAACAAGTAACTCATGATAGCTGAGTTATTTGTCAAAAGTCACTAAGGAAAATATAAAGGTGTGTTGACTACAACTGATTTGTGTTGAGGAATCTGTTATGTTATTTCTTCATTAAGACGTTAAAATTTTCTTTGTGTTATGGTTAGGACTGAATTTGTTCCCTTGGCATGATAGACTCTGTGAAGTGTTCCTAAAGTGACCTTGAGAGTAGCTTTTCTTTCTGTAGGAGTGAAAGGTGAGGCACTCTCAATTAGGGCGGTGTACAGAAAGAAAGGGCAGTCTATAGAAGGAAAGTTTGTTAAAAGGATTGACAAAATGGAAATGGTTCAGATGTTTAAATCCCTGTTCTCAACTTCAGGGTTTGAGTGTGTACATCTAAATTGTGATTTTTGGGTTTAGTTTTTAGTACATAAGCGTTTATATGAAATCTGAAAATTTCCTTTGTTAGATTTTGAATCTAAGTAATAAGTGATGTTGTCATTTTGTAAGCTATCTGTGGCTACTAAGTATGTTTTTCTTTTATATTTTTATCTAGAAAGTAGTTTTAGCTATTAAGTAAAGCTATACTTTTTCTTATTGAATTCAGACATTTGTAACAGTATAGGCTTCTTTTTGCCCAAATTTTTTGAGGATAAATGTAGGAAGTATTTTCTGGCTTTTAATTTTTTGAAAACAGTTTTTCATTCTAAAGTTACCGATCTTTTTTTTTTTTTTTTTTTGTGGGGGATTTTTAGATGTACATATAGGCTTTCTGAAAATACTGATACACAGCTAGAAAGATGAATTCTTATTAAATTGCTCCAGTATTTTTTTATTAAACGAAACTTTATTTTTAGATAATTATAGATTCATATGCAGTTGTAATGCAGAGATTCTATATACCCTTTACCCAGTTTCCTGCAGTAACAGCACCTTGCAGAACTAGTACAGTATCACAACTAGGTTACTGATAGTGATACAGCCGAGATACAGAAACTGTTCTGTCACCACAAGGATTGTTGGTGTTGGCCTTTTATAACTGCATCCACTTTTCAGGTCAATAAAAAAATGCTCAGATTACTAGATGCCTTCTTACCCTATTAAACTTGGAGTAAGCTTTTCAAATTGTCATGGCATTACTTGTACCTATCAAGAAAAAAATCAAGAGAGGGAAGACCAAAATTGTACCAATGTGGGTTTTTACTGAACTGTAATATAAGTAGGAACGGTGATTTTAGAGAAGAAACCAGGTTTGACCTTTCACTTAAGGTAGTTTAAGGTTATGAGTAGGGTGTGGTTCGTATTATGTACCTATTAGTGTTGAAATTTATAGTAACTATAATTTGTAGTAATACACACTTGTTAATATTGAGCCATGTTAGACATTTGCTTCAGGTAAGCTGTAGTGATTAATGAGAGCTATGACAGAGTCAGCAGGTGTGTGGGCAAAAATATATTTTATGACAGGTATGGTCTGCTATTAAGTGGCTCATTTAAGGTAAAAGGTAGCAAAAAATTAGTTTAGAGAAAACCTGTATTTGGAAACTCAAACTTGGAAAATAGAAAAATTAGAGACAAGATTATGACCGTGCGTATTGCATACTTTTCAGGCCAATTCCTGAACAATTGAAAAACAAGGTGGGGCGCGGTGGCTCTCATGCCTGTAATCCCAGCACTTTGGGAGGCCGAGGTGGGTGGATCACCATGAGGTCAGGAGTCTGAGACCAGCCTGGCCAACCTGGTGAAACCCTATTTCAACTAATATTACAAAAATGAGCCGAGTGTGATTGTGGGCACGGTAATCCCACCTATTCGGGAGGCTGAGGTGGGAGAATTGCTTGAACCTGGGAGGCGGAGGTTGCAGTGAGCCGAGGTGGCGCCTCAGCACTCCAGTCTTAGCAACAGAGAGAGACTCTGTCTCCAAAAAAAAAAAAAAGAAAACCAAATTGGTGTTTTTTTAAGTAGTCATTGCTTATAATGGATTTGAAAAACAACTTGATTAGATCACAACATTGTGGAGGCTTGTTTAGTATCTGTATTGAGGCATACCTACAGTTACTATTTTTGTCTGTTTTCTTTAGCCATTTAAACACAAATTCAAGTTTCTGTCTTCAAGATATCCTTTGAGTTTTTAAACAAGCCTTTTGAAATGGGAAGATAAAGATGAAGGTATCCAGGCTTGACTGTAAACAGCTTTCAAATTTTAGTCTTAATTGGGTCATAAATATCACTCTCTTATTAAAGCCATATAGTTTTTTCTGCTCTTAAACAATTGGTTTCCTGGAATCTCATTGCCTACCTAGTATTGTCAAAGACTTGGGTAATCTCACTGAAAGAAAGTAAAAGTAGCACTATTAGAAAGGCTCTCCTGAAAAAAAAAAAATACTATTTCTGGACAATGTGTGGAATGCCTTTGTGAAAGATCATTTAATATGACTGCTTTTGGGTATCACTTGAAAGTGTATTCTTGGATGGGAATGTTGAAATTGCAAACTCAGTGTTTGTGTTTAGGCAACAATGAGAAGACAGACATTTAGATATTTTAGTTCAAAAGACTATTGAATGACAGTCTGCTTTGTTAAATAGTTGTGCCATAAGTATCTAATTTTTATCAGTTAACTCTCAGTATCTACTTATGAAGTGTTCTAATAGTTTTTGGGAAGATGGGAAATGGAGAAGGTTGTTCAGAAAAAGTGGAGACATTTCTCTGGGCATGGTTGGCTCATGCCTGTAATCACAGCATTTTGGGAGGCTGATGTGGGCATATCAGTTGAGGCCAGGAGTTGGAGACCAGCCTGGCTAAGGTACCGAAACTCTGT